TACCGGCGCTTTCTTCGCTTGGAGAGGACAAATATGCCAGTTTACATGTCTGCCATTCGGCCTCAGTTCGGCTCCATTGTGTTTCACGAAGCTGCTGAGACCAGTGATGGCACATATCCGAACCTTGGGCATACGATGTCTCGTATACCTGGACGATTTGCTAATCTTTTGCGAATCTGCTTCCAGACTGCGGTTGCAGACCAAATTTGTCGTTCACTTTCTGGAATCTTTGGGTTTTGTAGTGAACAGACAAAAATTGGCTCTCTCTCCCTCCCAGTCGGTCCAATTTCTCGGCTTCGACATCGACTCGAAGGACTGCTTTCTACGGCTATCTTCGGCGAAGATAGCCTCGATACAGAAGGAAATCAGACGGATACTGAGGATGGATATGATACAGCTCAGAATGCTCGCCCGGATTGTGGGACTCCTCTCCTCCTCCATACAAGCGATATTCCTGGTCCCGTTACAGTACAGGGCCATGCAACGGCTGAAGGCGATATATCTACGCACCGGACATTCATACGACCACTGGATCCCACTGTCGGCCGAAGCTAACGATGGGTATTATCGTTAGCTGGCGTTGAACCTTGCTTCGGGGCACACTCGGTCGGAGGTGTGGCAGCCTCACAAGCTTTATCGGCAGGCGCCTCCTTAGCCGACATTATGCGTTGCGCGGATTGGTCGCGAGAGAGTACATTTAGGATGTTTTATTTTTGTCAAACATCTCATGCTTCCTTCACATTGGTTAATTCTAAGCTCTAAAAATGCAAATATGAAGCCTCCTGTCATGTGGTAAAATTGAGAATTATATTAACTTTAGTGTACTAATAATCTTAATTTTAGTAATGACAGGAGGCGAATATTTCCCACCCTATAGGACCCCTCCCATATCATAATCAGGTTGAATAGAATACATCCTTTATGTTCAGTAAGACATGTATCAGTATATATGGTTATATGGTTAAATACTGAGACATGTACCTTAAAGGACCACTATAGTGCCAGGAAAACATACTCGTTTTCCTGGCACTATAGTGCCCTGAGGGTGCCCCCACCCTCAGGGTCCCCCTCCCGCCCGGCTCTGGAAGGGGGTAAAAACTTACCTTTTTCCAGCGCTGGGCGGGGAGCTCTCCTCCTCCGATCCTCCTTCTCTCCTCCCGTCGGCTGAATGCGCACGCGCGGCAAGAGCTGCGCACGCATTCAGCCGGTCACATAGGAAAGCATTCATAATGCTTTCCTATGGACGCTGGCGTGCTCTCACTGTGAAAATCACAGTGAGAAGCACGCAAGCGCCTCTAGCGGCTGTCAATGAGACAGCCGCTAGAGGAAATAGGGGAAGGCTTAACCCATTCAAAAACATAGCAGTTTCTCTGAAACTGCTATGTTTCTGAAAAAATGGGTTAACCCTAGCTGGACCTGGCACCAAGACCACTTCATTAAGCTGAAGTGGTCTGGGTGCCTAGAGTGGTCCTTTAAGAGGATTGTATAGGGTTGAATAATTAGACATGTACCTTAAGAGTGTTAGATATATTAAATAACATAATTTTAGAATTAAAATGTATTGATTAATTATCCATTCAGGCATCCATTGTTATGTCAAATTCTTAATGTTTATGATATGTGGGGAACTTGCCATGTCAGAGACCTTTCACCTTTTTCTTTTCTTTCAGTGTGAACGTCTTCTCAACAAGACAAGGATTCATCTTCCATAACTCTACATCAAGGATCTACTGGGGATTGAAACTTTATTGTGTTATTGAACTGTTGGAACTTAATATGATTACGTTATTTATGGTTGTTATTTGTTGTTTTCGCTTCAAAGAAAGAGGAAGTGATGTCATAGACAGGGCCTCATAACTTTTTCTGATTGGTTGTTATGTTTCTATGCTGCTGGAGTTTTCAGTAAAGAAAGTTATGCAAATATTCGCCTCCTGTCATTACTAAAATTAAGATTATTAGAACACTAAAGCTAATATAATCTTCAATTTTATCATTTTACATTGGAGCTGCTTTTAAGGGGTTAATTTACTGTTAATTAAAAAGAAAATGCAAAACTCCAATTTGCCAAAACAGCAAGTACATTTATTTCCTTTTTTAGCCCTGAATAATATATTTTGCCGAATAGTATCTGGACTTGTCTACTGGATCTGATAAGACAAATTGTGTTAAAGTAAAGACAACTTTCATGTAGACAAAATCTCCTTTAATTTGATCTATGCTCTGCATAAGGACATCCAGTGTCAGTAAATTACCCATAGGAAAGCATCGCACAGAGAACCTATACCGTTGCACATCAGACTCATCCCACCCATAAGGGCTATCCAGAACTAGTTGAGATCTGAGTAGGGACCCACTGAAGGGTAGGCTATTTGAGCTGTTGTCCATTTTCAGTATTCTCCTGCACATTTATAAAGATAGATAGATAGATAGATAAAACAAAATAAAATAAAATAATATTCTTCCACATAAAAAGTTATCATAGTATCTCTCAATTATTCACCTGATCAATTTGTGTTAATTATTACTAAGGAAAATGTTAATCTCAATCTATGCATGCATTCGCTTCTACTTTCCTCTCGCCCCACCACTTGCCCTCTCTATCCTGTCCCATCTCACCTCCTTAGATCTCTCTCCCCTTGTCTTGTGCCTTACCTGACACACATCTTCAACTGCTCTCTCTCTTCTGGCACTGACACTGCTGACCTTAAACATGCCACTGTAGTACCTATCCTGAAAAAAAACATCTCTTGACCCAACCTTCCCCTCTAACTATCATCCCATATCTCTGCTCACTTTTTCCTCAAAGCTTTTGGAAAGACTTGTCTTTACCCGTGTGTCCCGCTTCCTCAATTCCAACTCTCTCCTTGACCCTCTTCAGTCTGGCTTCCGCCCTCTCCACTCTACTGCTCTTATCAAAGTTACTAATAACCTAATCACAGCTAAATCCAAAGGTCACTACTCCATATTAATTCTCCTTGACCTCTTTGCTGCCTTTGACACCGTTGATCATGCTCTCATCCTTCAAACTCTTCAATCGCTCGGTCTCTGTGACTCTGTCCTCTCATGGTTATCCTCTTATCTCTCCCAGCGCTCATTCAGTGTCTTCTTTTCCAAGGATACCTCCTCCCTCTCGTCCTGTCTCAGTTGGAGTTCCCCAAGGCTCTGTCCTTGGTCCCCTTCTATTTTCTCTTTATACTGCCTCTCTTGGCAAACTTATAGCCTCTTTTGGATTCCACTACCACCTGTACGCTGATGACACTCAAATATATCTCTCCTCTCCGGACCTCTCCCCTGCCGTCCTGCAATGTGTCACTGCTTGCCTTTCTTCCACCTCTGACTGGATGTCTTTGTGCTTTCTGAAACTCAATCTCTCTAAAACTGAACTCCTTGTCTTTCCTCCTCCTAATACCGATCCTCCTCTCTCGCTCTCCCTTCAAGTTAGTGATATCCACATAAGTCCATCATTGCAAGCACGCTGTCTTGACGTCATACTTGACTTTGGCCTCACCTTTTTTTTTTAATTCTTTATTTTATTTGTGCATGAAATGAACATTACACATTTTTTATTTTTTTCTCTCAGAGTAGGAAACACGTAGGAAAGTAAAGTGGGGCACACTAAGAGCTAAGCATCAATAAAAAGTAATTCGAGAAAGAAGAAGCTTAAAGGGTACTCATGTAGGAGTTAACCCAGAAACTAAAGAAGTAGTGAAAAAGAAAAAGTGAGTGCCTTTAAAATGTAACTTTTATTAGTAATAGTAAAATTAGGGTCTGAATATCCTAAATAGGAATACTATTAATAAATAAAAATGTATACAAAGATATTTACAATCCATTAAACATAGGTTGTAAACCAACGTATTAGCAATCTCTTGTAAATGACCTATTTATAATGAAATATGTAAATATTGGACCACTATAAAAATAATGGCCAAATTCCCAGGTTGAAATAGGTCATAATAGAAATCTAAATAAATAAATAAACTAAAGTATGTACAGAAAAATATGAGGTGAACATGATAATTACTGAGAGTGTATAATCGTAATGAGGTTCTGTTCAAAAGTTTTCAGAAACCTTCATCCAGTAATGCATACAAAGTTTTGCAATTCACATGAGCTATATACATTAGAATCACTGTATTGTAGCAGGTTTGTTGTCTAGGTACAAAGTAATCAAGCTGCAGCATAACAAAGGAAAGATCTTGTAACAAATCTCCAAATAGAGCTGAACAAGTAGCGTGCCTTGTGCCATGTGAAATGATCAATTTGCATGGGCTATATACGGTATTGACTCTGCATTATAGCAGGTATGTTTGTCCAATCTGCACCAACGCTCTATTATATTTCATTATAAATTTGTCATTTACAAGAGATTGCTAATACGTTGGTTTACAATCTATGTTTAATGGATTGTAAATATCTTTGTATACATTTTTATTTATGAATAGTATTCCTATTTAGGATATTCAGACCCTAATTTTACTATTACTAAGCATGAATAATAACCAGTGATGGTTGACATTTTGCACATGTGCACAGTTTAGTAGCTTGTAAAAGAAGTGATGTTGGTGCATCCTATGAGTAAGCTAATCGGTTGCTTAGCTAGCAGTTGTGTCAGTAAACAATTTGTAGTAGCCAGGTGAACTGCTTATATGCCTGATATGCCTAATGTGTGTAGTAAGAGGTGATGCTGGTATAGTGAGCCCCTAAACTTGAAGTGTTAGCATGCTGGGTCTGAATAGTAAGCTGCATGTGGTATGTCACCCTGGCTGGTCTAATATGCATGTTCTGGTACAGGCTTTGGGAGTCGTCTACCCAATCGGTAGTGTCAGTATGGCAGGGTAGGCTTGTCCACCAGGGTAGGGATCCGGGCAAAGTCCATTTGCAGGTTTCCTGTGGGCCAAAGTCGTGTTGGACCAAGACCGCCAAGTCTGGGCATCAGGAAGATAGGCTTGTTGCCGGGTGCCACGTGGAACCCCTCTCTGGGTCTGCTGCGCTGCAGGTCATGTGTACGGTGGGTATGTGGTCGGGCCCGCTGTGAGAGTACCTTGCTTGGCGGCATAGTCGTAAGTTCCTGGTGGGGGTTGTCTCTTTGCGGTGTTCCGACCCACCAGTGCCGCGGCTGTCGACGGCTCGGCTGTGTCTCCGTCTCTGTTTGCCATTTGCTTGACTCGTTGATGGGACAGGTAAGGGCTCTCTTGGTGGGTTGCTTTGTAGGGTATGGAGGACGCAGACTTCTCCGACCCCCTGAGTCTCTGTTCAGAAGCCTCACTGAGTGCTGTGGGCTCATTGAGAGAGCAGTCATTCACATCCACCTCGGCGCACATGGCGTCCGCTATCTTGTGTGCTGCGCCTGTTCCCCCAATTGGGGGTGGTCGGGTCATTGGGCCTGGATTGCATAGCCTCTGAGTGAAGACCTGGATCACCCCCACTGGTCCATAGGGGGGGGAACAGGGCCAGGTCTGCCTGGTGCTTTGCCTCTGGCTGTGTGCTGTCAGGCAGGATAGCGGGGCAGCGGCCGTCCGCCCCACTCACCGCCGGCGAAGGCTCCAACTGGGACGTCAAAGACCTCACCTCCAGGGGACTGAAACTTGAGGAGCCTGCCTCACCCTGGATCCAGTGTCCCCTTAGCACTGAGGGCCAATGCTGTCGGTCTATGGTTAGTTCGGATTTCATGTTTATAGGTTTAAGAAGTTGGTGAGTTGCAGGAGCTGCTCAAACTTGTGACCATTCAGCTTGGCGGTCCAGCCCCACCCCTCCTTTGGCCTCACCTTTAAGCCTCACATCCACTTTGTTGCCAAATCTTGTAGATTCCAACTTAAAAACATCTGCCCCTTTCTTACACAAGATGCTACCAAGGAGCTTGTCCATTCTCTAGTAATTTCCAGCATGGATTATTGTAACCCTCTCCTGGTTGGTCTCCCCAAAAGCCGTATTGCCCCACTACAGTCTGTAAAGAATGCCGCCACCAGACTGATTTTCCTCTCTAGTCGGTCCTCTCACACTTCACCTCTCTGCCAGTCCTTATATTGGCTCCCTGTATCCTATAGGAGTCAATTCAAAGTGCTAACCCATACATATAAAGCACTGAACAATTCTAGCCCCTCATATCTCTTCACAGATCCATAGGTATGGCCCTCCTCGTTCCCTCCGCTCTGCCCATGTGTGTCAGTATATCTCTGTGTGTGTATGTCTGTGTGTGTGCGTGCCAGTATGTCAGTGTGTGTGCCTGTCTGTATGTCTGTGTGTATGTCAGTATGTCTGTGTTTGTATGTTAGTATGCCTGTGTGTGTCAGTATGTCTGTGTGTGCCAGTATGCCTGTGTGTGTGTCAGTGTGTCTGTGTGTGTGTGTATGTCAGTATGCCTATGTGTGTCAGCATGTCTGTGTGTTTGTGTCAATATGTCTGTCAGTGTATATGTCTGTGTGTGTTTCAGTATTTCTGTCAGTGTATGTGTCTGTGTGTGTGTCAGTATTTCTGTCAGTGTATGTGTCTGTGTGTACGTATGTATGTATGTGTGTCTGTGTGTGTGTCAGTATGTCTGAACATGTGTCAATATGTCTGCCAGCATATATTTGTGTGTCAGTGTATGTGTGTGTCAGTATGTATCAGCAAATGTTTAAATATGTCTGTCTGTGTGTGTATGTGTCAGTATGTCTGGGTGTAATTGGTGGGGGGGCAGGGCCCAGGGGGCCCAAGAAAATGCTTTGCCCAGGGTCCTATTCATATTATAGATGGCCCTGCATACAGGGCAAGGGGTGGGAGTGAGGAATTAAAGCGCCCTTGCGCTGCTGCCACCTGCTGCAATGAATGTCTGGGAGGGGGTCTGAGCGCGTTGATGGGTATGCCACCTGACTGATATTTTACCAGGCGATAGTGAACAGCAATATAAGTGCTCCCTAGATCCCGGGAACATGGCCGACAGCACGCTGGAAATAATAGAAGGGCAGCCACGGAGGAACCTAGATAGAGGGACGGCACAGACGTTCATAAAGCCGCAGGCCCTAGGCGGACGCCTTATTGGCCTATAGGAAGCACCGGCCCTGGGTGTTTGTCTATTTCTGCTGCTTGACATATATAATATCAATGATCAAATATATTTAATGAGACTGCATTATCCTTATGATACCTATTGTCGATGCTGGACATCTCAAAATACAATTACAATTTCCTTAATTATTCTTGCATTTGCAAAACATTTTGTTATGCATCACAGCACAGAGGAGACAACATCTGTGTTGTTTGCAAGCATACATTTGCACTAGGATACTGGGCACTCCAGATGTCTGTGGACTCAGTTTCCCATGATACTCAGCCCTACGTTAAGTTGGCTGACCATCACAAGAAACACAATTCACATCATCAGGATTGGAATATAGCTCTCTAGAAGAAAGGTTAATTTTGTCATTGTGTTATATGTCACTTTGTCTCTGCTAAGTGGTCCTTCTCCCTTTAATTAATGCTAATTGCTAGATATAACACTTTCTCTGCTTAATGTTAGTGTTAGAATATGTAGACAACAAAATGTATACATATATATATATTTTTTTTATTATTATTATTTTTTTTCTAATATTAAAATCTTTTTCCACTGGCAGCATTATTTCATCAAAAGATGAATTTTGCTGTTAATTAGCCAACAGGCCACAAGGGATATTTCAGAGTCATGGGTGTGAAACCGCCTCAAGCAGGAGGAGATCAATCTGAATAAGAAAACAGTGACTAGGGAATAATTGGCAGCACCAACGAACGCGGGCTGTTTATAACAGTGACAATATGTTCCAGTGTAATAACAGAGCTTGCTGCATTCTGTTTTCTCTCTGGCGCATTTCAAACTGAAGGGAAGAGGAGATATACATAACCAATTGAACCAATTTTTTTTGTTCCTTTCAAACAACATTCCCATTGGTGCTATTAGTAAATCCCATATCTTTCCTAATATTCTCACAATCATTCAACTGTATACGTTTGCTTCATTATTTTTCATTATTGCGTGGCGTATTTCTTGAGGTTTAACTAATTAAGATAATGACCAGAAGTGTGGCTAATGCTGCTTTAAATACCATTGGACATATGGCTCAAACTCAATGTAGAAATCCTGGTTAATTAAACGACTTAGGGGTCTATTCACTAAACAGCAGGTTTACTTTTAAAAAAGTTGCAGCTTTTTCATGATCATTTAGAAAAAAATGAATCAAAAAACATTCTTTTACCTTCTTAATTTCAATAGCTAAGGCATCGCAGCGATGTGGCTTAATGTCAGAAAACTGTGAACATTTTACCCTGCTGAAAAAAAAACATTTATTTAAAGCAATGGTATTGGTCCACCAGGAAACCAAATGTAATTGATTCTATTTTTTAACTGCAAGCTGTGGTGAAAGGACAATAAGAGATAGATTATTTAAAAATCTGTTATTTTTCACCTGGGTTTTTGCAAGGTTTTGAATAAATCCCCCAAATTCTTATATATCAACATGATTCAAAATGAAATCAATGTAAATTTTAAAATTTAGGCCAAAATTTTGAAATTAGAAAAAAAAAGTAAAGTCAGCTTTGTGTCAACTTCTGGTAGTTTGACCGAAGATTTGAAATTTATGTTGAATTCCCAACAATTCTCGTTTCACAGGGTTATTCCCAAAACATGAAATTGTAGAACTGAATATAAGACATGGAAATAGTCTCCAGTCTGGTTTTAGTCACAGATTAGAATCAGTTTATTAAAATTAGGATATAATTTGCTCAAATTTGAAAGAAGGGACATAGTAAATCCAAACACTTACTTGGCTATTTAGTGACCCATGAACTGGCAGGAATTCTCCCAGAAAATCATATTTTAAGCCAAAGTAGCTGAGTCCAAATCATTGCTAACATGAATGTTTTTAATTTGTGTGATATGGTGAAAATGTATAATTTTCTGAAGAATTCTCACCAGTTCATAGTTAAATCAGATCTGTCACTTTTGGGGCAGACCTCTGCCTTTTGCCACCCTCAGTAGTAGTCCCTACTTTGCCTAATGGGATATTTAAATTGCATTGGAATGTCAGTGAAAGTGCAACACATTCAGGATCAGCATTTTATAAAGATTGTATATTTACTAAATACTGAAGAGACAGCGTCACTATAATTGCCATGTGCACCTGTGTATGTGTGTTCATCTGTATATGTGCATCTGTGTGTTAGTGTGTGCACCAGTGTGTTACGGTTTGCATCTGTGTGTCTTTATGTCAAAGTGTGTATCGGTATTAACCCTGCAATATAAAACTGTTCCATTCTGCAGAACAGCAATATTTTCATTGCAGTGTTTAAATGCCTCTAGTGGCTGTTGCTTAGGCAGCCCCCTGAGGCACTTCCTCCGATATAGCAGAGTAAAGCTCTGCAATTTCAATCATATGGTCTAATAGGGAAAACATTGGATTGTGCTGCGTGGGAGGAAAGGTAAGTAAAATACCTTTTTTACTTACTATAGTTGGGGGTCAGTAACCTATACTGCCACCGGGGTACTGCAGCATTAGGAATATACATTATCACTAATGCTATAATGTTCCTTTAAGAGTCTTTCTAACTGCAGAGTGACAAAATTCACAATAAATTGAGTATTATGTAATGTTACGTACGATGAAGGCTACCTCTTCCTCTTTCATTTATAGCTCCCAAATGTGGGCAAGATTAAATCACTTTTGGCATATTGGCTGCATATGCCATATTTGTCATCTTTATCACTATGCTAATTGGACAGCACATTTTTCGATCACATATGAAAACACTAAATCATAAAATATTACAGAAATTAAATGACTCTATTATATAGAAGGTCAATAGCCAGGTCCCCGACTAGATATCCTATACTAGTTTCACAACAAGAATATTTCAATGAAATAGCAGAATCTAACTTTGCCAACTTGTGTGAATGTGTGCTAACACATGGCACACTACAGTGGCAGAACTACCACTAGTGGAGCCAGTGATGCTTCACCAGGGCCTGCACCATTACAGGGCCATGCAGTTAGGGTCACCCAATGGGTATTACTGCTTTATTTCTGAAAAGCGGCCCGCTCGGGTGCCATGGCCCCTAAGCTGCATGATCGGGCTCCTGTAGTATCAGCCGGCTGGGAGGAAATGACAGCCTGTCACTTTCTCTAAGTTTCCAGCAGAGGACGCCATGGGGTAGGGAGAGGAGGCAGCTATACAGGCACAGGCAGCATGAGGGGAGAGTAACACTAAGAGTGAGCTGCTCCACACCACTCTTTCCCATCAGCCAGCAGCAGGACCCCAGGCAAACCACCCTGCTGGACACAAAAGGCATGCTAACAGGAGGGTTGCTGCAGAT